ATTTTAGACTCGCGTCATTTATGGCGATGAACTCGGTGTGATGGGCCAGTTAATATCAGTAGACGAAGCTGACTGTGTGATCAAAGTGGGAGCGGATGACATGCGGTTGAGTCCACTTGAGTTTTGTTGCAAGTTCAGCAAGCGGTAAACTGCGATTGTTCATCCAAGAGCGGGCTTTTTCGGGTGTTGGTCTTGTATTCGACTGTACAGTAACGTAGTGACATGATCGAGTAGAAGAATTTGACCACTCGTAGAATTCTTTTTTCTAGAATCTTAGATCACCTCTATTCATATCTTTCTCTCTGTTGTTCCATTTTGAACCGTCAATAGTATATGATATTTAAGAATATTTATGTCATTATTACCATCCCAAGTATAAGCGCTTGCTTTGTTCTTTCTCTACTATAAAATACTGATAATATTATGCTTAATTTTGAAGAAACTCGTGGTAAAATTGCACGTAATAAATTATGTCTCTGAATTTTGTTGCCGTTGATTGCTGTTGTTCGAGAAATTCTAGCTGCGTTCCGTGTCCGACCATATGCTGCACTCTGAGATGTTTTAGTTCACCGTATGATGGCTACTAACCAGAATTTAACAGCCCTCTTTTTTCCGATGGTAAGATAGTAGGTCCTGCGCGGACACAAGATCCGCTCTTGTCGATTCGTCCTGTTCAACGCACCTCTTGTTGAGTGCCTTATTGGCGTTTCCTATGAACTCTCCACCTTTTCCTTTGGGGTATCTGAGAGTTTTGCTATAATGGGTTAGTGTCAAAGTCGAGACGCTTCTCAAAGTACTCCGTCATATTAGGTGATGCATGCCAGGTTTTCCCTTTGGTAAAATATCTGTATAGCCTCATTCTCATATCAGCGGAAAACAGCCTTTTAAGTATGACTTATGGTTAGTGTTGAGCTATTAGTATCCAAGGTATTAGGCACTTTGATTTTTCTTCTGACGTATTGTGGTACTAGGAGGAGTCGCTAACTTCATCTGTAAAGCAGCAGCCCAGGTGAGGACGTGCCGATGACACTATTCTTGGGTGGGTGGGATAGAGTAGAGCATGACAGAAGTGCCGTTGTCGCGGCTAAAATTGCGCGACAATGGCACTAGAACCTTTCAAAAAGATTTGATGGCGACTAGTGTGAACCTAAACTTGAGACACCTGTCATACATGCACACCCCATGACACGCGGAATTTAAAAAAAAAACACGGCTAATTCAAATACGCGCACGACAGTGAAATCGTGGAGCAAGCAAATTTGCAGAACTCGTCCGGTCCCGCCCTCTCCTTATTCCACGGTCGAAAAGGGAATACTTGATAATGGCTTATCGGCGCTTGCTTTGGTTCTTTTTTCCAGTTTAATATACACGATTTCATTACCGCTGTCACTCCACCAATTCGACCTGGAGGTACTGCTCCAAATTTTTTGTAAGGGGTCTCATCCACATTGCTTCCACTTACAGAAATTCCAATTTTTGCAGAGGAAGGAAATTCCAGGGGTGCGAGAACCACTTTGCTTCTGCTGTTAACCCACCCGGAACTTCACCTCCTTGCAAATTGATTACTTTAGGCTATGTGACTGTCGTGCCACATGCCCCTTCCCCTACTGGATGAGACCTCTGCAGCTCACTTGTTTGCCAATACCAAGGAAATTGTCAGCGACGTGCAAGCATTGAGCTTTCAGCACTACTCTCATTCCCGCTGCAAAAAAAAACATTTCAGTGGTTGCAAGTTAGCGACAACAGCAGAGTCGTGCCAACATGGAATGGACAATACCCATGACGTGAAAAAGAGTCTCTCCTGAAGAGTTTCTTTCTGAGCACCATACGCGAGCTGATTTCCATCCAGTGCCAATACTACTGTTGGTCTGGCGATGTGTATGAGAATATTGATGATAGAGTTGTGCTATTTCAAACATCAGCCAAATATTTATGTGAAAAGCACTACAGAATTTTGCTCTTCATCTTCGATGCGATTCTCGCGACATTGGCGAATTGTTGAATCTCCAACTTCCAACCGGTGAAGTAGTCGTCAACCATGTACGGCAGGTCGTTTTCTGCGCAGAACTGCTTCACCAGTGGCATCACCTGAAGCACTGCCTTTCGCAGGAAAAAATGTCTAGAATAGTTTAGTCCTAATGACAGACCTTGCTGAGGTTATGGCGAGGCATTGTTGGGAAGAGGTGATGCTCTATCTGTAACAAAGAGAATTTTCAGGTCTGGAGAGAAAGCTAAAATGGAGAGATCGAGAAAACTGACGGTTACGGTGTTGTGGCAGTTTTTCCGACAAAATGTACGAGACTTACCTGATAATTGAGTCCGCCCCATAACCAATCAATGAATATGCCAGGGCGCATGTTCCTCGTCGTGTTCACTTGAAGACAGGCGTAATTGGACATGATCTTGGAAGTATCTAGAAAATAGTTATAATGACTGTCAGCAAGCCAAAATCGAGTGTGAGTTCAAGGCACGGTTTGGGGTAAGATCTTCAAAGCTATTCCTCAAGTGAAAGGCAGGTCCTTAAGCGCTAAGATCGGGCAATATCACGACTGGGAACGCGCGTCAGGAGTATCAAGGCCTTCGCTAGACCGCTGCGACCGCTGCAATTTTGACTCGTTCGCTGCGTACGCGATGTCCGCGCCCTCTCGTACACCGTATTCCCCCGATTCTCTCTCCTCACCGGGTCGATATCTCTGTGGTGCTACAATCAACCTCACAAGAAGGTTTTATTTTACGTAATTAATGGGAATGGGTCCTTTTTTTCGGCAGAGACCTCTTTGAAAATATTGTCCCATTCCCGAGTGGAATGGAACATCAATTTGATCGCAACCCGTGCCTTCAAATGACAAATTGGTCAAGCTTCCTCGGATTCTCAAAAAACCTACATGGAAATTTGTCCACGGAGTAGTGGTTGTAGGTGACAACGTGAGCTAGAAGAAATCCACCAGTAAGCTGAGAAACAGCGAAGAAAAGCAATCTGAACAGGAATTTGCAGAAGGGTTAAATGGGACGGGTCATGACTACGCACCTAATTTGCATTGAAGGAAGAAGATACAGCTGGATTAGGACCAGAATCCAGTGAATAGTGAGGAGATACCTATAATCTGCGCATTAAATTCTGCCAAGTATTCATGTACGGATGACTAATGATCTTCAAGTTGAGCGAAAGCGCTGATTACCTGCTCATAAACAGCTCTGTCCCGATAGTACTTGTAGTAGTGCTGCGGCATCCCGTTGACAAATACAATCGACTGTAGAAGCCAGCTTATTCGAAGCAGTGGCAACATCACAGACCAGTAAATGTGCTGGTAGGGCAGAATCGTGAGCCACCAGTTATCGGCCATCTGAAATCCATTGCACATTCGTCATGTTTCCAATCTTCCCATGAAGTTTAGCAAGCACCGAAGCTTTCAGAAAGATTCAAAGAACAGATTAGTCCCTCCAGGTGCACAACAGAATCGTGCACCGGTTACTTATTGAAGCTATTTGATCTCATATTTGACAACAGCGGCAAGAGCTACGAGAAGTAGCTGCTTCATTCACCGCCATTGCACCAGGATTTCAGGAAGCTTTTATCGTCACTTGTTTGCCAGACAAAGTGCTTTCCAAATCCGGCATTCTAGCTGACATAGCATTCGCTTCATCAGCGTTCAGAAACGAAATCCTCGAACAACTCAAGGCGAGTGTTTTTTTTTACAGTTTTGTGAAAAACTGCTGCAGTGTCATTTGAAAAGATAACTGTTCGTAAAATTCAACACAAACCCAATTTAACCCAAAAATAATAAAACTACTCAATGAGCGGTTGAAATGCTTCTACTCAGAGGTATTCACACTTTTTAGCTTAAAGGCAAGCTCCGGGATCAGCCTCAGTAGTTGGGAGGATACCGTGAGGGAACTTGTTGTGTCCTTCCCTACAGAGAGCGTGCCACGCCCGTCGCACAAAATGCGCGGTTAGGGCGCTAATCGTTAAGGGGCTGCAACCATCGGCCCTTATTGCAACGCTTCCCACCCACCGCATCGATGTGGAGATCAGCGCGCTCTCTCAAACGGCCTCTCGCGTGTTCTGTCGTCTTCGCGCTACATCTCACCCACCTTACTGGAGGTCGAGGCCTTGATTTCAGCGTTACCGATGGCCTCTCCAGCCTCGTTTCCACTTTTGCTTCGTTCGCAGCTCATCCATCGCTCTTATGCACCAGTTTTGTCCCGGAGTTCGCCGTTAAACAGAAAACTTCGATCAAGTGAAGCAGAAAGATTACGGGGGTCATCTGGATATTCTACTTGTTGGTTAATGAGCCCAACGTTTCTTGAACTAATATAGAAAGGCCGACAGCACTAGTGACCACTGCACGTTATGGATTGTGCCTTGCTCAGGAGAGGATTGTAATAAGCCTACCTTAAGGTCTTGCACAACAGTAGCCCAAAGCGGCATCAGATCGAGATCTCCGTCTCGTCCGACGATGTTGGTAGCAGCGTGATGGATGTTGTGCTGCTCCTTCCACCCACCCGATGAGAATCCTTGCAGAAGATTCCCCACGACATAACTGTGAAACAGTGCGATCACTTGCGAAGTCTTTTTCTTAAGAAATTGGACCAATGAAGCAACCTTGCAAGATCATTATGCCAGTGGTCCTTGAAGAGCTGATTATGCGCGAATTCGTGGATAAGCCATCCGAGTTGCTGCCACGCAAGACCCATGAGCACAGCTGACGTTATATACCATCCATTAAGTTGCAGATAGACGGCCGTCGCGATTATCAGCAACGATTCTACCACCTAAATAGCTTTTCCCTTGAAAAAAATGTATTACAAATGAACGACGGGCTAGTTTGCAATGTGAATCACTGGCTTAACAGGCTGAGGCCTTTGCGCAAAGTTGGAGTTCTATGCTGACCTTTCTGGAGTAGAATAGCATACTGCCATCCATGAGACCTTCTTGGCGAACTCGTAGTCGAAGCTGATCGAAACTTTTTGTGATTGATTTGCTCTTCTCTTCAGTGATGTCAAAGTCACCCATGTTCACGTCCTCGTAGCCAGGGAGCATCTCTTCCTGAATTCGAGAGGTGAAAAAAGAGAAGGGCCAGTGCAAAAGAAAAAAGCCACACAGTATAGTAAGCTATAGAGCATGCATTTATCGATGGTACTAGCTAGCTTTTTGGCTGTACAGTGGTAGCAAAAGACTTGGAGGCTCAACTGGTAACGACATAGTAGGGAGGGCTGGACCTCTGACAAGTGGTTTTCTCAACTCATTTCACAGGTTAGGTACTTTATGGTTCTGCAATTCTGGATGGAATTTGAGCACGTGGCACATTCCGAAAAAGGAGCTAAGATTATGAGAGTGCTTGAATTTTGGCAATAAGAACATCTAGATGCATGATGGAGTCACTAGCGTGATGTGTCACTAAGTATGAGAAGTTGGCAGAATATGGAGAAAGAATTCCGCCCATGTTCTTTTGTATGACTCTCCACATGTACGGTGCGTGAATCGCAACTAAGTATCGATGGTTGCAGCAGCTGAAGCAAGAATGTCCAACACAAGATCCACAGATTGTCGAGGAAAAGGTTTGAATTGCATCATCATTACGTGAACAAGAAACTCGAAGAGGAGGAGGGTGGGGGTGACCAGTATATCATTTGGTTCCCAGATTTGCTAATATTAGTTGCGATTCACGCACCGTACATGTGGAGAGTCATACAAAAGAACATGGGCGGATTTCTTTCTCCATATTCTGCCAACTTCTCAAACTTAGTGACACATCACGCTAGTGACTCCATCATGCATCTAGATGTTCTTATTGCCAAAATTCAAGCGCTCCCATAATCCTAGCTCTTTTTCGGAATGTGCCACGTGCTCAAATTCCATCCAGAATTGCAGAACCCTTCAAAATACCTAACCTGTGAAATGATTTGAGAAAATCACTCTTCAGGGGCCAGCTCTCCCCACTATATCGTTACCAGTTG